ATGGTTCGAATCCTGGACTGCTGGCTTGCTTTCTCACTTTCTTACTAGTCAAATTGGAAACATGGGGGCCAGTAGGTGGCGTGGTGATTAAGCATGCTGGACTCCCACATGGCTGAACACGGTTAGATTCCCTGGAAACTTGCTTTTTCAATCTCTCTCTCTCTCTCTCTCTGCCCCTCTCTGGTCAAATTAAATAAAGTTTAAGAAAAAAAGATTTAAAGCAAAATTGGAAACAGGAATAATAATACATAAAATAAAATAATTAATTTTTTAAAAAGAACAAAAAAGCAGAGGGTCAGAGAATCAAGTGGCTTCAAAGTAAGATGGGTAATTCAGTTCCGAGCACACCCTGGGACTACTTCTTCGTCAAGCTGCTTTACCTGCGGACACATCTCTATAATTTTTATAGCTTACACCAACCACTTCGTTTCCTTTTCAAATACATTCATAAAGAGGCAGATTCAAAATTTGCACATATGTGCAAAATGCAGCTGTCTATTTACAGAGGAGGTTGTCTTCTCTCCTTTCGGCTGCTTATCCCAACTAAACACATCGCCACTGAGGACCTGTCCGAGGGCTAACTCCTGATGAGGAGGCAGAAAGGGGCCAAAGGAAGGAAGGGCAGATCCTACCAGGGTGACCATGCACTAACTATGCCCCCTACTTCCAGATGAGGAAGGCACGGGATGTCTGACTCAGCAGAATCTCACAGGGAGCGAGAGCGAAAGTCCTTCTACCGCTGTGCGGATCCCTGCATCCTTTTCCAGAAACAGACAGTTCAGCGTATGTTTGAGGTTGGGGGGGGTGGGATGGTGAAAAACACTATATGTCAAATAGACAGTGGGAAATACTTCTTTCCTCCTCTAAGCTGCCAACGTCCATGGCACACAATAGAGGGGAAATGGCCACAAAATGACTTAATCTAATGCCCTTTTGAAGTACAGAAACTGTGTGACAAGTGACTAGAAATGACACAGCTGGGGAGATCGGTATCTTTTTATGCTTAGTGAATTTCCAGATCAAAATGTGCTCACTTAACCAGTCAAATTTTGCTTTTGTGTGGCTTTGTTGTTGTTTTAGATTTTTGGCATAGGGTGCATATCATACTTGCCAGAGAGAGAGAAGGAAGTCAGAGAATCACCCTTAATCTCTCTCTCTCTCTCTCTCTCTCTCTCTCCCTCTCTCTCTCTCTCATACACACACACACACACACACACACACACACACACGTGGAGTAACAGCCATACCAGAACCTCTCTCTATTCTCCTCTCAGGATTTTGGGCACACACAAATGTACCCAGCATGTTTTCTGAGCTGCCAGGTCTAGGACTTGAACCCCACACATGACCATGTGAAATCTAGTTGCTTTAACCACCACACCACCTGGCTGGCCCTGTTTTGCTTTTAAACTTCTGATGCTAGCAGATTCCCCTCAAATAAACAACCTGTCCACCTCACACTTCCTCACTGGGCAGATACCACTTGGCTGTCGAGCCCAGCTGCCAGTTCTGTGAAGACCCTTGGGGAGCAGCCAGCAGTCGGGGCAGAGGGAGGCACGGATCCCTATAAACTGTGACAGCCAAGTTCAAGGAGATAGGGACTGAGACTGTCCACTCAAGAGGAGGGCCCAGCTCTACCTGCCCTTGCCTGGGCACCGTCTATTCACTCCCTTCCATCCCCACTCTCTCTCTTCTTTCACCCTCCTCCCCCATTCCCTACCCCTGACCCCTGATCTCCAGCAAGAGGAAGACTCCAGAATAGCCAAGAGCTACCACTTGATCTTCCAGGTCATGAGAGCCTTTGGTTTTCTTCTGAAAGAAGCCAAAAGCCATGCTCCATTCCTGGTCTGCCACAGCCCGGTACCAAACCACTCTTAGCCTCAGACCAAGACTGAGATAGCACTGAGATACTAAAGAGCAATTCCCCAGAACCACTAGGTCGCTCAGCAGAGCAGGGAGGTCATCTGCAGACTTCATCCTTAGACATCTTTAGAAACATTTCAGTTGAAGGCAGGTGGGCAGGCATGTGAAGGAGCTGCCATTTCTGTGGACTCCGAGGGTCTGAGCTCTGTACACGGCATTCTTTGGGCTCTACCATCAGCAGAGATGGCTTCCTTCTCATCATACGTAATGAGGATTACAGACTCTGAAGGTGAGACTCACTCAATTTCATTTCGAACCTAAAATCTTTCAGAGACTTCTTCTGGAAAGTCAAACAATTACAGTGATTTAAGTCGAGCTGTTCATAAAATCCTCGATGCACAGAAAACGTAAATTCAGGCCAATACTGTATAAAGTAAGTATGATGCAGTTTCCAGGTTTCTGCTTATATCAATATCACAGGAGAGGATTCCAAACCAGGGCTGGAACACCCGAGTGCACTTGCCATGAGCCCAGTCTAAGTATCCCAGGACGCCAGCTTCCCGAGCACCACGAGCTCACCAGCACCCAAGCAGCTTCTCGTGGAGGGAAGACAGCGAGGCTCAGGAGCGCCTGACCATGGGTGCCAGAGCTGTGGCGGAGGCCCTGGTGCTCACCTGTTCCCTTAGGCGCAGGGAAACCAAGGCCCCACACATGGTGGCAGAGCTGGGACTCCCTAGGACTTGGGACTCCCTGTTTAACACTGCTTCTGCCCAAAGCCTCTCCCCTCCACCACATCACAGAGTAAGAGGCCTCCCAGTGATTCTGGGGCAATTTGCAAGAGGATTATGTAAGGGAGTTATCAGCTCAGCTCAGAGGCCTTGTAGGAATTTCCTGTTATGTGATCTGGGACTCACAAATAGCCACAATAGCTGTCTCTTTGTCCTCTCCCTCTTAGGGGAAATGCAGGCTCTCCAGTCACTAGGTACCTATGCCCGGTAGCTCACTAGTGACTGGGCCTCACTTTGGGAATATCCGCAGGGAGCCAGCATTATGTGGGCACTGAGAAAACAGAGCAGGCAAGTCCAGGACAGGAAACCCCCACTCTTTTCCAGCAAACCTGGCAGCTCTGGCTCCAGTGAGCGGGTTGCTCTACTCACTGGAGGAAGTCAGCAACACAGAGCTCTCGGACCCGGGGCCATGGCCCTAGTTAGTTTATAACAAGTGCCTGCTTCTGCAGTTCTTCTTTCTTTTAGAGGTTTTTGCCTTAGGGTGCATGCCAGAATGAGAGACAGAGACAGTGAAAGGGAAAGGGAAAAATCGCCCTCCAAGGGGGATGGTCACACTGTAATCCCTTCTCCTCCATTCTCCTCACAGGATCTTGGGCATGCATGCACACGGTGGCTGGTGTGAATTTCAAACCACCAGGTCCCGGGCTCGAACCAGAGCCAACCATGTAGGAGTCCCACAACTTAACTGCTACGCCATCTGCTGAGAACATGTACATGACCACCCAGGTAGGGAGGTGAAGCATCACAGCTCTCCAAAGGCAATCCCCCCCAGACTGGTTCTCCCTCCTTCCACCATGCTAGTTTGGGGATTCATCATCCCCTTGGTTTTCCCGAAAATTTGTAGCACCTGGATATGCTCCCCTAAAGATAGTTTACGGGGACCAGCAGTTAGCGTAATGCTTATAACAATATTATAGGAGAGGAGTTTGACAACTTCCTGCCGGCCACTGTTATCGGCATAGCCAGGCTATGTCACTGAACTCCCATGTAGTCGACCACAGTTCTAGTCCCGGACCCGGGGGCTTAAACTCACACTGGGCGCATGTGCATGCATGCCCAAGATCCCGAGAGGAGAATGGAGGAGGAGGGACTGCGGCATGGCCATCCCCCCTAGGAGGTGATTTCTCGCTTTCTGTTTCTCTGTCTCTGTCTTTCTGGTAAGCACACGCGCCTTATTGCAAAAACCTCTCTAAAAAAAAAAAAAGATTACCGTTTAGGGGGCCAGCAGATGGTGTGGTGGTTAAGGTGCCGGACACTCCCACATGGCCAACCATGGTACGAGTCCCAGACCTGGTGGCTTACTTTCTCATTTTCCCTTCTCTCTCTCTCTGTGTCTCTCTTTGGTCAAATTAAAATAAAAGAATGAATAAATTAAATAAACAAACACAATTCTTTAAAAGAAAGATTGCAGTTTAGTTTGGCCTATTATTGCATATAGCTACTGTTCGCCCGTTTCTGTTGCTGTACGGTGCTCAACTGGACGAACTCGTTTTCTTTCTTAATTCTGCTGTCTAGGACACTTCAGTTGTTTCAGTTTGGGGCTATTACAAACACTGCTGCAGTGAACGTTCCAACTCTCAGGTGCTGGAGTTTCTCTACGATACACTTAACAACAAAACATTGCATCTTGTAGAATGTGCTTTCACCTGGACTAGACAATGCCAGGCTGTGTTCCAAAGCTACGCTGCCTTTCCCCGCCTACAAAATCCCCACTCAACCACTCGCTGACAAAGAGCAGGCTCACTGGTGATACAGGGGCTAATACAGCCCAGCTGACCACTAAACAGAAGTCAAATCCTGATGCCTCTTTTGTAAGACAAAACCCAGGATTTAAAAATTCTGAGCTTGGGATCAGCAGGTGGCATGATGGTTAAGGTGCCAGACTCCCACATGGCTGACCACAGCTCAAGCCCCAAACCTAGTGGCTTGCTTTCTCACTTTCACTCCCTCCATGTCTCTCTCTCTCTCTCCCTCCCTCTCTCTGATGAGCATACATGCTCTGTAGCAAATTAAAAATAATAATAAAAACAATAATAATGATGAAAAATAAAATTAAATAAATATATTTTTAAAAAATTCTGGGCTTAACCAGAATCAACTACAACTGGGTTTTCCTGAAGAAAAATGTCATGAGCTCCCCCAAAATAATGAGGTAGCAACCACAGCTTCAGAGCACCCCAGCTACCCACACTATTAACTGTAAGCAATAAGGACAATGCATTGCCCAAATCTGAAAAGCAAAAAGATTACACCCTGATACGTCGCCATCTGTTGTGGGTGGTAGAAGGCAGAGGATGAGGGCTGGGTGGGGAGGGGTCCGAGCGCCGCCTTCCTGCCGCTGAAACATACCTGTACACCGGCTGCATCTCCCTGGCTATGCCGATGACAGCGGCCGGCAGGAAGTTGTCAAACTCCTCAAACAGCTCGCGGATGTTGGTCTTATACTTCAGGTCTAGGTCCAGCTGAATTATGCGCAGGATCTCTGGAGGAAAGAAAAAGACAGTAAGGCATTGACACACATCCAGGGAGGCTCAGTCATGGACAGAAAATGAAGTGGAGGGTACAGAAAAGGGCACCGTATCATTACTGTTGTCACTGAATCATGCCAAGTCGCTGCTGGAAACAAAGGCCCTTCATTGACCAGCAGCCCCCTCCGCAGTGGAAGCCTTCACTAAGGGTTGTCCCATAGCTCTCCTTCCAACTGCAGACATCCATCTTGTTTCAAACGAGGTGGCCATATGCGCCACCTGGGCCTCCTGTCTGGGTGCGTGCTAACAGCGCACGTTTCACTCTCCAATACCTGCCTCGGATGGCACATCGTACGAACACCTACTGCAACAATAACTCAGAGCACCCAGGTCTTTGGAACACAGATGCTGAATGACCCACAGAACAAAGGGGTAGAAGCTGCTATTGCCTTAGGCCTTTGTTAGTGTCATCTATAAAACCAGATACATATCAAGATGCAGACCCAGAGAGAAACAGCAGAAAGACCTCAGACACTGCCATGGTTCTCACCCATTACCAAAAAGACAACATGAGCCCTGATTATTCACTCTCACAATTACCTGCACATGAGCTGTTTGCTTCTGTCACTCCAGATGACTGAGGACTGGGGAGCGGAGCCGGAGGCAGAGTCCAGCCGGGACCCAGAGGGAGGCAACAGGTTCGGTTTGCTCCGTTACCCTTCACCTTGGCCCAAGCAAGCCTGGCTGAGCTCCCACAGCGTCAGTCATTGCAAGAGGGGGCGGACTGGGACCCTGCCCTCAAAGTGGGACAGTGGGTGACTAAACACAGAGGGAGGAGCTAGTGCTGTGGCATGGGATGGGGGAGGGGAGCACACTAGTCCCAAAGTGTGAGCGCTCAGGGCTGAATGAGAACGCAAACAGCAAGGACCTGGACAGCGAGGGCCTGGCCTGGGCATCAGTACACCTGAGCTCAAGTTCCGGTTGTGCTGCTGATTAATCCTAGAACCCCAAGAAGTTATTTTACTTCTCTAAACATCAATTATTTCATTTGTTAAAATGGGGACAATATTGTGAGCCTCCTGAGGCTGTGAGGCTGAGAAGGTGCAATAATGCATGGGAACTATCTTATAGGCCAGGGGTCCCCAAGCCCCTGGTTAGGAACCAGTTGGAACAGGCTGCACAGCAGGAGGTGAGTGAGCAAAGTTCCTCTGTGTTTACAGCCTCTCCCCATCACTCGCACTAGTGCCTGAGCTCCGCCTCCTGTCAGGTCAGCGCCAGCGTCAGACTCGCACATTGAAACATGTCAAAATCCCAGCGTTCACTCATCACCCCTGTCGTGCCAGTTTGGCTTTGAATGCAATTGGATTCCAGTTGCAAGAAAATGAGCTCCGGACGCCCACCAATTCTGCACTACGGTGAGTTATGTAACGATTTCATTATGTGTTACAAGGAACTAATAATAGAAATAACATGCACAGTAAATGCAATGCACTTGAATCATCCTAAAGCCATCCCCTACCACTACCCCTAGTCCATGGAAAAACTTCTTTCCCATAAAACTGGCCCCTGATGCCAAAAAGGTTGGGGACCCCTGTTAAAGGCTACAAAGCACGACGGGAATCCAGAGTCTGGAGAGCAGGAAGCTTGTTAAGGCTTGAGGCAATCAAGGGAAACTTCACAGAGGAGGGGGACCCGAGCTGGGCCCTGAAGTGTGGGCAGGTATGAGGAAGCCCCCTCCAGAACACAGAGCTCTCCCCTTTGCTCTTTATCCTCCATGGCTTGCCGGCCCAGCTGCAGAGCCCCGTGGCTCCCGGACAGGTCACCCGCCTGTGTGGAAGCCCTCTGAGGACCGGGCCACATCCTTCGCATCCTGAACTCCACCCGTCGAGCGGTGTCTGGCATTCAGTGAGCACTCAGGAATGTTGGTGGAATTCAATGGCCATTCTCTCAGCTTGTTTACGAAGAAATTATAGCTCATGATTCAAGAAAAACTGATTCATTTGTTCCTTGTTCTATTTTCCTTTGTGACGCAGAAACAAAGCACGAGTTGACATTCTGCTTGACTTTTCTAGGGGGAAAAAGGTACAGCAGATGAGAACCCAGCTGCCAGGCCAGAGGACAGGGAGAGGTTCCGGTGCCAGCTCCTCCGGCCCCAGAAGAAGGCACAGGAAGGGGGTCGGCCGGGACAGAGGTGGACCTGCTGCCACTGGCTCCATGCCGCTCGCCCACATGGGAGCGGTACAGCGACTGCTTTCCTCTCGCACCTAAAAGCCACAGTAATGGCACCCAGCACAGAGGATGGGGACAGTCGGCAACCTGGGAGCCAGGTCGCCAAGTCATTGCTGGTCTCCCAGAGAGCTGCCCTACACTGAGGGCCGGAGGGTAGAGACAGGCCATCAGGCAGAGCCTCGGGGCTCTCACTGCTCTCAGAGGCGGCCCTGGGGAACACGGGGGGTGAACCTGAGGGCACCCTAGGGAAGGATGCCGCGTCCAGGAACAAATTCCACGAATGAAAGCGGTGGCCACCAAGAAGCCTGGATGGATGCCCCTCAGCACACACACCCTCGGGCCATTTCTCTCCTTTGGTCCATCTCCTGCCCCCCAAGTTCCCGCATCTAGGGTCTCGGGCAGCTTTTATGCACAATAAGGGTGAGCCCTGTGGGACAAGGACAGCGTCCTGTCACTGGCCACTGCCCGTACACCTGTCCCACCACTCTTGCAGAAGGAGCGCTCCTTGAGGATGGACTGCTGGGAGGGCAGAGTGGGGACACAGGACGATGACTGAAGAGACCCAGCTCCTCCATCTGGCAGGGCCCTAGTCTGGTCAGGAAATCCCTCCATAAACTTGAGCTCTTTCTTTCTTTCTTTTTTTGATAGGTTTTTGCTATAAGGCACATGTGCTCACCAGACAGACAGAGAGACAGAAAGCAAGAAATTACCCCCCAGGGGGGATGGCCATGCCATAATCCCTTCTCCTCTCGAGATCTTGGGCATGCACACACACACACCCAGCGTGAGTTCAAGCCACCGGGTCCAGGACTTGAACCGCTTTCCCTGCCCTTCAGGGACTGGCCAGGAGTGAGCCTGGAAAGGTGATGTGTAGCAGTCAGTCACAGGACTTTGAGGTGTTCTCATATTATTTTCAACTCCTTGTTCATAAAGCGCTGTTCAGAGGGGCTTTTAACACTTCTCTCAGGAGGGCCTTCACCTCATGAGGGTAGCTGACCAGGGAGGAACAGGGCCATCGCTCCAGCACAGAGGGGATCCCCTCGCACGATGTGAAATGCTGCCGTCCCCTTTCAGGCTGACGTTGGGAAGGCACCGAGGACTAGGTGGGCTTTGTGGTCTGAGATGCATCTCCACTGAACACCAACTCCAGTGGGTAGGGTGGGAACGTGGGCCATCTTCACAAGGTGACCCTCTCATGTCTCCATGTAAAATAAATAGGGCCACTTGGCTAGAACTAGTTGGTCAATGGACAACATTGAAAGTATGAGCTGAAGATGCCTTTTCGAGACCGCGCAGACCCGTTGCTGTCATCACCGCCATGGCCCCGGGCAGGAGGGAGCCTACGTGTGCTGCTGGTATGTGTATGTGCGGCCCTGCACGCTGGCCAGGCCTGGTCGGGTAGAGGGACGACCTCTCTGCATAGCTGCACTGTTGGGCCACATTCGTGGCCTTGGTGCCATCTGGGAGAGTCCCAGATCAACATTCCCCTGCAGAAACAACTCGTCATCAGCTTCCAATTAAACTAGCCACAGGCATGTCATCTGACTGTGGATGGAATTACAGCCCAGAGTGAGTAATTAATGATAGCCAAAAACAAACAGCCAAAGGAGAAAAAAATCCCAAAAGGAAAATTAAAAAAAAAAAAAGCAAGCCTCCTTCCCTCTCTCCTCCCTTCTCCTATCCCGGGAAACAATTCCTGGCAGACATATCTTAACACACACAAAACAATGTGCAGCAAAGCAGACCAGGAAATGATGCAGAGAAAAGACAGGCTTAGGTAAACACAGAGCCAACCATCCTCAGATGCACACGGGCCCGCTCAGAGGGCGGGTTGGCCAGGCGACCGCGTTCTCTCCCTTTCTGTTTTGAAACAGCTTCAGAGCTTCCCAGAGATAAATATTTATCACACATCAGAAGGCCTTCACCTCAGAACTTCGGCCCAAGCTTTCCACTAACGGGGCGCGGGTTTGGGGAGAAGGGGAAATGATGACAACACGAAGCTATGTGACTCCAGCGCCAGGAGGCCAAGGACCAGGAAGCAGCTGCCTGGAAAGGGAGCTCGTGTTCTCATTGTCCACTTTGAAATATTGCAGCAATTTGCCACCTGCCTGAGCACACGCGGGTGCTTTTTAATTGCAGTTCGGCAGCACCTCTGGCCTGCAGGGGCCAAAGGACAACTGAGAGGGGCGGAGACTTCCTCTAATAGTGAGAGGCTCCTGACCCCCGAGGAGCTGTTCTGAGTCCCACAGGATAGGCACAGTCCCCTGTGCCACACCAGATGGGCTTCTCCCTTGGAAGGCCCGCCTCTGCCATGCATGGACCCAGCAGGGTGCCCAAGGCATCTGAGTTGGAACCGGCTGTGGCAGCTCTCACAGCCAACAGGAAACTTGGATTGCTTCCAGCTGGGCTTCTCCCTGACCCTCAGAGCCCCCTCCATTCCCTCTGCAGTGAGGCCCAGCTGCAGGACAGCTGGCTAACTTTGGACAAGCTGCTACAAAGGAACAGAGTAGAACATGCCAAGGCCGTGGGCACAGATCCCTGGGCTTCTGCAACAGGGGCAGGCGCTTCCTCTGCAGGAGCTCCTACGGCCTGGGCTGATGAACCTCCACCACTCCACCACGCTTCTGCGAGGCTGAGGCCGGTGTTAGTAACTCCCCTTTTCCAATGAGGAACCTGAGGCTCGGTGCATTCTGGCAACGTATTTGAGACAAGGAAGCATCGGAGTTGAGAGCAATCGCAAATGTGTCTCATTCAATAGCTTGATCCATCCTGTACAAGTTTCTGA